AAAAAGTCCAAATTTTGACGGCTGAAGTTGAGGGTGGGTTTATTATGGGAGTGCGCTCATTACGCACGTAAATACGGTTTTACAAGTAGGAACAAAACCAACATGCAACAAGCACGACATATTGTTTATTTTGAAAAATAAAAAGGCCGAGAGACCGCAAACGGCCTCAAGTACCGGTTTGATGACCACATTTTCGCGTTCCAAGGACCTCAAACTACCATCGAAGTTAGAATTCTATATAACGACGATATCCAGGGCATCCAATCAAGTGCACACGTGTGCACTTGATTTCTTGTTTAGTAGCACCACTGTCAAGTTGTGGTAGAGCTCATGTTCATTTCTCACGCTGCTTGGTGTTAAGTAGAGCCTCGTTGTAGCGAAGTAGGATATCATGAACAAATGGAAATAACGAAGCAATTGTAATTCACCTTGAAGTTTTCATAGACGCCGATGTATTTAAAACCTCATTTTAAGGAAGTGAAAGTTTCCTCACAATGGATATAACAAACCACTCTTTGTCCACAACGAGCATTTACTGATAATTTTGGCGTACGTCAATTCAATATCTTATAGCATGCGACGGTTTACGTATCATCACGGATTCATTTATTTATAAGTCGCGCCTTGCACTTGCCGGGAACGGCCTTCCAACACGCGCGTGGCTGTGTCTGCCTGCCTCCTCTTTCCTCCTGAACTCGCGCGAGCGTGCATATCAGCTGGCCTCCCCTCTCCTGTGAACTCACTGACCCGCCCCCGCGTCTGACTTCTTTCTCCCCTTCATCTCCACTCTGGGACGGTGGAGATTGCGGCTATGTTCCTTGTCATTCACAATGGAAGAGCAACACCACCTCTATTAGTTTTTCCGCCCGACAGCTCAAAAACATAACAATTGAGCAGAACATTTGCAAAGCAGAACATTGGCAGAACATTGGCAGTGTTGAAAGCCGTTGAGTCCCGCGTCGAAAAAAAAAAAAAGTAGTCGAAGATTTCGATGGTGTCATCGCCAGTGAGGGTTTCACGGGCAACCAGGCCCAAGGGTCATGGGATGCTCTCCTTGACGCCGCATTGTGCTTAAAGGAGCCCTGCAACACTTTTTGAGCATGGTCAGAAAATGCTGCCAATCGGTAGTAGAGGCCCCCGACAACACGCGAGCCAAATATTATAGCATAGCATGCGGCCTGAAATTCACAATAAATTAACAAAGTCAGCTAAAAGTTGCTTTCTCTTCTCTCGACAAATCACGTTATATGCCCGAAAATCACATGTAAATTACCCATCTATCAGTCATTGGCTGATTTGAACATGGCGTGCTCGCTCGTTACAGATATCGCCGCGGGAGGCCACTACTTGTCCACGCGTGCGCGCGATCACACTGAAAAATTGTGCATTCGAAGAAAAAAAAACGAAAAAAAGTGCTCAAGGTCGCGAAGTGTGCATGAGTGAGGTTTTCTGGCCCTGCCATCCCTCCTTGCTTAGCTTCCAGGGCTTTCGTCGGGTGCAGCATGTGACAAACATTCGTAACTCTACTCGCACTGGACAGATTATAAAAATTTTTGTGGCGTTGAATTCTTGAGGCAATAAACTCTTCCAGCGAATTCATTCCATGGTTACTTGAAAAAGTGTTTTAGGTCCCTTTAACTTTCTGCGCGTAAGTCGGTGTTGTTGCTGACGCGGTGACAACGGAAGAGTTGTCAGATGCGGAAATAGTACGCGCGGTGACGGATGTGCATGACGACAGTGACGAATGTGTGAACACGCCGGAGCCTACTGTTAGCGAACCCGACGTACCAATGCCTGCGCAAGTGCTGGATGCGACAGACTTGCTGTGATGCTTTTTTGGTGCTTGCAATTATCACAAAGACGAACTTGGAATAGCTGCTGCAGCTTAAAAAGCAGTCATCCACGTGAAGAAGAGTTGGTAAATGTCTAATATGGGCTATTTTCATCGAAGTGGCCTTCCAACTGGTGTGCCGAATTTGGTGGAATTAAAGCTGTATTGTTCTTTATTATTTCGCTACTTTTTTGCCTTCCAACGGCCGTTCTTTTCTACGAGGTGGGCTGTTGTGATATTCGGTACTGAGTACATTCTCTCTTGCTGGCTAATTGTCAGTAGAAATGGATAATGGCTATAACGAACTAATGGTTATAACAAAGTGCAGTTTACCTTGCTTATAATAAACCTCCAAATAACGAATTTCTTGATAAAACAAAGTTTTTCCATTCCTCATTGTTGCTTCATAGAAGTACATGTATTGGCAACCTCTATTTAACAAAGTAACAGAGAGAGACAACCTTTATGTAATGAATTTTCCCCATGGACAATCTAGGAAATGTGCTCCGCATTTGGGCATTTTGATATGAGCATGCATCTTTTGCGGTTGCCCCTGCGCCGACGAAGTGCGAAGTGGTGGTGGCGCGCACGGCGCACCAGGCGAGAGCAAGCGCGAGGCCGGCCTGCACCCTACGAGCCGGCGTTGCCACAGCTCTCACCGCCACAAGCACATGCGCTGGTGTGCCAACCCCCCCCAACTCTCCCTAAAAAGAAAACTACTTTTTTGTATTGTCAGTGCCACACTTTTAGTTATTGACACATATGTGGGTCCACGCTGCATATGGAGGGGTTTTACCGAACAGTTTTCTGCAGTATCCATATCTGTGTTATTCGCTCTTCGTTTTCAATGCCCTGCGCGCATGCATGGTTTCACTGCGCGCGCATGGTGTGGCCCCCAACAACGTTCATCTTTTGCTTTTTTTTTCGATTATATGGAGTAGCGGCTGGGCCGCTGTCGACGTCATCATTCACTGTATGTTTATATGTATCTTTATAGATAAGAACTGAAGAAAGGGGAAACAAAAAGAATGCCCGAGCTTGTGCGCAGGCTAATCCGTCGGTAGGGAGAATCGCGCACCTTCGACTTCGGGCGGTACGATTGAGTATAGCTGCCAGGCGCACAATGATCACTTTGCTCGCTTTACAGGCGCTGTTTACAAAAACACTCGCTAGAAAAGCACTTTGCTGTGCTTTTCTAGCACAGCGAAGTAACAACTGGGGTACTTGTTAGTTTGCGCTCATATCTGTACCTATGATTATGTCTCGTGTCTCGATTTTGTTTAAACAGTGCGTTAAGTGTTGAACAGTCAACATGGTTGGTTCGCTCTCGTCCTGTGTATGTTGTTTTCGTGCATCATTTGTATGTGAGCAGCGTGCTGCACGTTTTGATCTGCTTGCCGTTCTTAGCGTTACATTCCAAGTTGTTGTTACGCATTCATTGCTTCGCCCTTGCGCCGAAACTGTAACTTTTCTTAATTTCGGGCAACCGTGTTGTCACCACCAAGGAGATGTCAGATTAGGCGCTGATGGAAACTCTCTCAGACTACGGACGACGACGACCGATTTTCAGAGGTCAACTAGCCACGCGCTTCCGTCCTGCGCCGCGCTGCGAGTTCGCAGGCTGGTAGCTTTCGTGATTAGTCAGTTAGTTTTGGCAACACGGCGGCGCGCTGAATGCAATGTGATAGCAAGAAATTGTAATGCCCATAAGAAATAAGACTGGCAGCCAACTCTTTTGGATCTGATGTCACGGAACACCTACAAAACGCTGGTGTGAGCAAGTACGGTTGCTCCTAGGAGATGTGCTCTTTTCACACAGTCCCTTCATGTTGAAATTGCACTGATACTCGCCGAGATAGCAAGTGCCCCAGTGATCGTGACCGCCATAGAAATCCAAGTTCATTACTGCTACTCGAGCAATCCCCCCCTCCCTTTTACCCGCTCGTGAATTTACGATGTGCGGGGGCATGTTATCAATTTGGACTAGTTACAAAACATGGTGGCGGCGACAAAATCTGCCGAGAGCGTCCATACAATTTCTATTGCAATAATAAGTTTTTTGGGTTAGCTCTGCCTTCAGTCCCCCCTTTCGTTTAATTTGTGTGTGTTATTTTTCGAATTTTCATACCGAACCTGCATATAACAAAATCCTCTTTATAACAAATTTTCCTGGGAATTCATCATTTTCATTATATCCAGGTTTATTTAATTACAACTCCCCTTCAACTTCATTATAACGACGTTTGGCTGCATACCTATGCCGAAGTGCTCCGAATTGTAAGATTACCTGCTACAGAACTAAAATTTTACTGCTCCAAAATCCTCTTAAGTGCAAGATTACCTGCCCCAAAAGTAAAATTATAGTGCTTCAAGGTGGACCTAATCGCAAGATTACTTGCTCCAACATGCTTCAAAACTAAAATTTTGTTGCTCCAAAGTGCTCTAAAACTAATGTTTTACTGCTCTAAAGTGCTCCAAAACTGAAATTTGTCTGCTCCAAATATTGCTCCAAATCGGCAGTCCCCAGTGGGATCACTGAATACATTCATGTTGCACAAATGGTTCGTCTTTGGAAACTACCCTGCTATACATACCACATGAAGCCAAAACATTGCTGACATGTTTTGAATACACAAATACATGACATGCCAGCAGTAATAATGTGGAGGAAAAAAATTGGTTCAAACAAACCTCCATTGTATTTATTATGCCAGGGTGGAAATGCTACGAGAACGGGATCATGGGTGGCCACGGATGAGACCAGGACTCGTGTAGTAGGGTTGCCAAAACACTATCATATTTTCAATGCTATTTGCAGCGAAGCACATAAATACACTGCCAATTTTTCGCATGTCAAAACCTTTGCAAATTATATTTGGTAGTTAAGTAGCTAAAGCTGCACACATTGATTTAAAAGCAGTGGGCAAAGTTTGGCATTAATGTTTCACAGTGGCATGATACATTTCATTTAGCACGATATCAGTGCCATCTTCAGTGACCAGCTGGCCATAGAAGTTATGTGTACATAAAATACTGTAGTCTTCCAGAAGTGTAGAATATGCCTGGAGCTATGCAGCTGCACCTAAACCTTCATTGCAGATGTTCAGAACGAAAAAAAAAAGGACAAACACTTATTTTTTCTGGCCTTTCTCTGCTTTGCACTGCGCAGGGAGACAGCTGCCTGAAGCATGAGTCACGGTAACCTGCGGTAACCTGCAATCGTGCTGCACCACGGTGAGTGGCTTCACTTTTACCACTGTTACCAGTTGTTGTTAACGAGATCAAAAGACCTTGGGTATTTCCTGATAAACTTGCAAGCAAGATTGTGTGGAAAGAATTTGTCATGTAGTCCAAAAGGGTTCTCGCAAAAATTACAAAAAAAAAAAGGTCTAGCACCGTAGGTGTTATGAATTGTACTTCAGTAGATCCTTGATAAACAAATGCAGGTATAAGCTATTATATTGTCACGATGAGTCACAAGTACTGGGGGATTTATTAAACCACCAGGTAGCTAGCACTAGGACGATGCGTCAGTCGTGGCTGGCTCTCGAGCAAAGAAGAACGCAATCTTCTTTTTTCCTCCAGATTTAGAGCCGCTCTTGCTGCCAACCCACTACGTGCTGGCGGCATTATCCCCCCTTCCGAAAAGAAAAAAACAACAAGTACCAAAAAGAGGAAAGGAAAGTACATAGCAGCACCGCGATGCTACTACTTAGGCACGTGAAAAAAAAATGGAAATTCGGATGAAGTGAAAGTAAAAATTGAAGAGCGTGCCAACATAGGAAACGTCAATGAACGAGAAAGTAAGTTCACAAAATAAACAAAAAACACAAAAAACGCTGTACGGTAAAGGAAAAGTTACGAACAACGCGCAATAAATGGCTTCATGCGCAACACATGAACGACGTCCGGCCTCAGCCGTGTCCTGCTCCGTGCATGGGGTGTTGAGTCCGGAACCACTTCGTAGTTCACGTCACTGACGCGGCGTAACACTTTATATGGGCCAAAGTACCGGCTCGGCAACTTTTCACTAAGGCCACGGCGGCGGACGGGCGTCCACACCCAAACTTGATCTCCGGGGCTGTAAAACACTTCTCTGTGGCGGGTATTATAGCGTCGTGCGTCTGCCTGCTGTTGCTGGCCGATGTGCAGTCGCGCGAGCTGCCGGGCTTCCTCGGCACGCTCTGCGAATTCTTCGGCGTCTGTTGCCAACTTGTCTTCGTCCTGACACAGTAGCATTGAGTCTAGCATGGTCTGCACTTCGCGGCCGTAGAGAAGCCGAAATGGCGTGAATCGCGTGGTCTCTTGCACGGCGGTATTATACGCGAAGGTCACGTAAGGCAAGATCCGGTCCCATGTTTTGTGCTGTACGTCGATGTACATTGAGATCATGTCTGCGAGGGTCTTATTCAGTCGTTCAGTAAGTCCGTTGGTTTGCGGGTGGTACGCAGTTGTCCTTCGGTGTCTGGTGTTGCTCAGTTTGAAAACTTCGTCCGTAAGCTGCGCCGTGAATGCCGTCCCTCTGTCCGTTATTACACTGGAAGGAGCACCGTGTCGTAACACGATGTGGCGCATGAAAAATTGTGCTACCTCAGAAGCCGTGGCTCGTGGGATCGCCTGGGTTTCAGCGTAGCGTGTCAAATAGTCGGTCGCGACGATCACCCATTTGTTGCTGTCCGCAGACATAGGACTAGGCCCGAGAATGTCCATGCCGACTTGGTCGAACGGCGTGCAGGGTGCTTCAATGGGCTGAAGCAAACCAGCTGGCTTAACAGATGGTTGCTTTCGGCGCTGACATTCCCGACAGCTCTTTACGTACTTCTTTACGCTTGCTGAAAGTCCTGGCCAATAGTACCTCTCGCTCACTCTGGCAAGTGTCCTTGAGTAGCCCAGATGACCGGATGTGGGTTCGTCATGGCAAGCGAAGAGGACGTCGTCTCGCATGTCTCGAGGAACCACCAGGAGGTAAGCACGATTGTTCGAACGAGCGTTCTTCTTGTACAGCACACCATCTCGTAGGCAGAACGACGTCAACGAGCGGGATAAATGATGTGGTATGATTGCGCCCTGGCCCTCTAAAAGATCACTGATTGGACGAATCTCTGCATCATCTCGCTGTCGTTTGCTCAAGTCTGATGCACTAACGGCGCCCAGAAAGCCTTCGTCTTCCTCTGCTTCCTGACTGAGGACATGAAGGGGTGCGCGTGACAGTGTGTCAGCGTCTTCATGCTTACGGCTGTACTTATGGACGATGGTGACATCAAATTCCTGCAGCCGCAAACTCCACCGTGCTAGCCGACCTGAAGGGTCACGCAGGCTTGCCAACCAACAGAGCGCGTGATGGTCCGTCACTATCTTGAAGGGACGACCATAAAGGTACGGGCGGAACTTGGTGATTGCCCACACGACTGCGAGGCACTCTTTCTCCGTTGTGGAATAATTTGCCTCGGCACGGGATAGAAAGCGGCTGGCGTAGCCTATCACTCTTTCGATGTCCTCTTGACGCTGAACGAGCACTGCACCGAGCCCAATGTTACTAGCGTCGGTATGGACTTCCGTGTCAGCATCATCGTCGAAATGAGCGAGAACGGGCGCTGATTGCATGCGCTGCCGCAGCTCATCAAAAGCTGCTTGTTGCTCGTTTTCCCAGACAAACGGCGTGTCGTCCCTTGTGAGACGAGTCAGAGGTTCTGCTATCTGTGAAAAGCCATGAATGAATCGGCGATAGTAGGCGCACAAACCAAGGAAGCGCCGGACGGCTTTCTTATCGACAGGAGCTGGTAATTCGGCAACAGCGGCAAGCTTGTCCGGATCGGGACGGATTCCTTCGGCGCTAACTACATGTCCAAGAAATTTTAGTTCTTTATAGCCGAAGTGGCACTTCTGTGGCTTTAGTGTGAGTTCCGCCGATCGGATAGCCTCCAGCACGCTGCGCAGGCGGTGAAGGTGCTGCTCAAACGTGGTAGAGAAGACCACCACATCATCAAGGTAGACAAGACAAGTCTGCCACTTGAGCCCTGTGAGGACAGTGTCCATCATTCGCTGGAAAGTTGCCGGTGCTGAACACAAGCCAAAAGGGAGCACTCGAAATTGGTATAGGCCGTCTGGAGTCACAAAGGCTGTTTTCTCACGGTCTCGCTGATCTACTTCGATTTGCCAATACCCGCTTTTGAGATCGAGAGAAGTGAAATAATGGGCGCGACGAAGTCTATCCAGCGAATCCTCGATACGTGGCAGCGGATACACATCCTTTTTCGTCACGTTGTTAAGCTTTCGGTAGTCGACGCAGAAGCGTAGCGACCCGTCCTTCTTTTTGACAAGTACGACTGGAGATGACCACGGGCTGTTAGATGGTTCAACAACGCCATCGTCAAGCATCTCGGTGGCTTGCGTACGTATTGCTTCACGTTCTTTGGCCGACACGCGGTAGGGGTTCTGGTGTATCGGACGTGCGTCCTCGTACGTGGTGATCCTGTGTTGAGTGATGGACGTCTGGCGGATCTTTGAGCAAGTTGCGAAGCAAGACCTGAACTCGAACAAGAGCGCTCGTAGTGCAGTCTGGTTAATGGTGGACAGATCAGGATTGATGTCAATATTACTCATTGACGTGTCGGCGGTATCCACTATTTCGGACGTGAAACAGTTAGTGACGTTTGCTACTTCGTGGGCAAACGCTATCGAAGTGCCACGGAAAAGATGTCGATGCTCGTTGCTAAAGTTGGTTACGAGCAATTCAGATCGACCATCACGAAGGTGTATTACACTTCTAGCTACACAAATGCCTTGCTGCAGGAGGTGTTCTAAATTTGTCTCAGCCACCACATCGCCATCGCCCAAACCACAGCATGTTACGTCGACTAGAACACTTGTTCGTGGAGGAAGCGTCACACTCTGTTCAGAAATACGGAGTACGTCGACACGCCTTCCACCATCCTGCACGTTGATTGCTCGCTGGGCTGAGAACGTGACGCGGCACTCTTGCAGATCAATGATAGCTCCATTTTCTTGTAGAAAGTCAACTCCCAGAATGACGTCACGGGAACATTCGCGTAGAACAAGGCAGCTTGCTACGAATGTGTACCCTTAAATCTGTACTCTAGTTGTGCAGGCACCCAGTGGAGTAACGACGTGGCCGCCAGCTGTCCGAATCTGCGAGTTATGCCACGGCGTGATGACTTTCTTCAGCTGCGTTGTCAGTTTCCCGCTCAGTATGGAATAGTCTGCGCCGGTGTCCACTAACGCATTAACTGCACAACCATCAATTGTCACTGCTATGTCGAGTGAAAGTCGGCCATCCTTTGCAGCAGTATGTGATGTCGGACCGGTTTCTGTACAGTTCTGCGTCAATAGGAGGTCTTCAGCGCTTCGACGTTCAGCGACCCCGCCCCCAGAGGTTGCTTTGGCTAGTTTTACCGGCGGGGGCAGGGAGACCGTGTGGTAGAATACCGCTGGGGCGTTGATGAAAATCGCCTCGGTGATGGCAAGCGCGACTGGCGCCCGGCAGATGGTGGTGCATGCTGCTGGGAGAGGTAGTTTTCGATGTTGCGCGGTCTCTGGCCGTAACGGGGTGGCGGTGAGTACGCAGAGAAGCCGCGAAGCCCAAGACGGCGATATGGGCACTGGCGGTACAAGTGACCAGCTTCTCCGCATTGAAAGCACAGAGGCCGGCGATCAGGTGTGCGCCAAACATCAGACTTTCGAGGAGACGTGCGCCGATCGTCGATGTACTGAACTGGTTGCACTGAACGATGGGCGACAGAAGCACCAGGGACAAAGGCCAACGGAGGTGGCGTGTACGTGCCTTCGTAGTACGGTATGTGCTGCGCTGACTGTAGTGAAACAGCAGGAACAGGATGGACGAATAATGGCGGCGTTGCAGCAGGGCGTTTCAAGGCTTTCGCGTAGGTTGTCTCACGGCGGTATTCAGCAGGAGCTGGCACAGCTGTATCATGAGGCAAGGTGTCCCGGAGGGCCTGGTGCAGCTCATCCTTGATCACAGTTGCAATAGAGTTGACTGTAGGATGAGGTGTTACACCAGCCTTTTGTAACTCTTCACGTACTATATCACGGATGAGTTCACGTAGACAGTCGTTGTTGGTTCTAGTGGCGGTGAAAATGTCGGCAGTAGACATGCCACTGACTTGCCTGTCGTATTGGTTGGATCGCTGCTGCAGCATTTTTTCCATTGTCACGGCCTCGGACAAGAACTCCGCGACCGTCTTCGGAGGACTTCGCACGAGGCCGGCAAAAAGCTGGTCCTTGATACCGCGCATCAAGTGACGCAACTTCTTGTCTTCCGTCATTCTTGAATCGGCCCGTCGGAAGAGGCTCGTCATGTCTTCGACGAACGTGGTCACAGTTTCGTTTGGCAGCTGGACGCGGGCCAGAATAGCTCGTTCAGCTCGTTCTTGGCGATCAGCACTGGCATACGTCTGCAGAAGTCTACGAGAGAATTCGAGCCACGTCGTCAGCTGTTCCTCTCGGTTTTGATACCACGTACGTGCCCCGTCTTCGAGATAGAATTAGACACGACCCAGTTTCGCCGCGTCGTCCCACTGATTTCAGGTGGCTACGCGCTCGAAATCCGCCAACCAGTCCTCAACGTCTTCGTGCTCCGAGCCATGGAACGTCGCCGGTGCGCGTGGGCTTTCCAACGTGTAGCGGTTCGACGTAGTGCTTCCCGTGCCGGTTGCCGAGGTTTGCACCGAAGCGCTGGTCGTGTTTGTCGACGTGGTGGGAGTAGTATCGTCGGCTTCCGGAGGCAATCCCCTGATTCGGCGGCTGGTCCGATGCACGGGAGTATTGACTGGCACTGGACTCGTATCGCGGCTTCCTGGGGAGGTCTGCAGCATCCGTGAGACTACCCAGCACCTCCACCAGTTTGTCACGATGAGTCACAAGTACTGGGGGATTTATTAAACCACCAGGTAGCTAGCACTAGGATGATGCGTCAGTCGTGGCTGGCTCTCGAGCAAAGAAGAACGCGATCTTCTTTTTTCCTCCAGATTTAGAGCCGCTCTTGCTGCCAACCCACTACGTGCTGGCGGCAATATTGTTACATGGTTGTGACAGTAACAAAGGCCAAGCAAGACCGGGAAATATGGAACTCTTTATTTGGCCAAACTTGTGCCTGGCAAAGGAAAAGTCAACATACAAGTAATGAATTCTATGCACCAATAGTAGCAAGAACATCTGTCAGCCATCGACTCATGTGATCCACAATAAGTTCTGTCAACATTTATACGTGCGGCTGGTGACTGCGTTAGGTCCGGAGTGAACTCAACTGTTCACATTTACGTGCTCAAGCCAATTGGAAGTTTCTGAAATGATCTGGAACGTTACTAGACATTCGCGTACAGTTTGCACGAGACAGTGGTCATGTGTTATGACATTTCTGTCCTTTCTTTGACCTGTTACATAAAATGGCAAAACAACTGCACTTGGCAATATAGTGAGGGAAACTTCATATTTTCTAACTATTGGTGTGCATACTTATAATTAGCAGCGTGAAAATATTCAAATATTTTTCTAGGACTGTTCGCTAATAATTTAATTCACTTTGGAATTCTGTTATTTGAACTATTTAAACTTCCAGAAGGTAGTGAACCTCCACATCTTTGGCCTTAATTGGTACCGCGAAATCGTCTGGAAAGTCGGGCAATCTGAGAACCTGGTTTGTGTATTATGTTTTGCTCAAGTGGTTAAATCGCCACCGCTATGTCCAAAATAGATTTAATGCCAGCCAGTACTATTATCAGGCATTTTAGTGATTGCCCAAGCTCTCATGAATACGTTCAACACCTGTCACGAACACCGCTTAGCAATGTTAGTTGGAGTCTTGTGATGGGTGACGATGATACCAGCAAAGTGTGAAATAGATAGATTAGAATAGAATAGATTGGCACCGTAAACTTATTTTGCAAACACACCTTAGCCTTTCTGCTAGGCATACCACATGATGGTCAACTTCCAGGCAAAATTGTTTAGTCCTCTGTTTTTGAAATATATATAATCAGTCCTGATTATCAACAGTGGAGCTGTTTAGAAAATTGTTTTGTTCACTCCATACCAAAAAAAAACTGTCATGATAAAGAGTTATGTGCCACGAAAATCTGGTAAGTGCCACCACTCACCCCTGGCTCACTGAACATGAAAAGGGCAGCAGTCAGTGCAACGAATGGCTGCAAGCTATCGCAGTAAGCCGAAGGCCCTGATTATGTACGAGAGAATACTAGGGGATGGAAATAGCAACGATCTATGAGAGACGTGAACAGTCGGTTTCAGCGCATGATCGGGTCTCTGCAGTTTGGACATCCGTGTCATGCCTGTGACTGTCTGTGAGTCCAATCGAGCCTCTGCGCCAAGAATCAAAGTAGAAACATTTTAGTGTGACCTAAGCAACCTAGAACGTGCATCACCTAGGTAATAGATGTAATAGATGACGATCATAGCATTTGCCCCATTGTGCTGTCTCGACAGGGCCGCAACGATGGTGGTAGCTTTGGGATGAACATGTTTTGCTATCGGCCACAAGAACGATAACCACTGTGACTGCTGATCGCTGTCATGAACCATTGCCATTTGATTGATTTATATGTGGTGTTTAGCGTTCCGAAACCGCCATATGATTATGAGAGATGCCGTAGTGGAGGGCTCCGGAAATTTCGACCACCTGGGGTTCTTTAACAAACACCCAAATCTGAGTACACCGGCCTACAGCATTTCCGCCTGCATCGAAAATGCAGCCGCTGCAGCCGGGATTTAATTTTGCGACCTGCGGGTAAGTAGTTGAGTACCTTAGCCACTAGACCACCGTGGCGGGGCATGAACCAGTGCGAGGGAAGCATATCGTTCGTATGCGAAACGTTATGGAGCACCAGAATCGGTGTGCACACTAGTGCAAGCGGGTTTGTCACGTGGTATTTTTTTGTATCTTGTGGGCATTTGTAATTACCGGAAACATGCAAATACTTGGCAGATATGAAGTTCAAAACTGTCTAATTGGATGTTTTGCAAACCAAACTACAACTTTCTCACTGAAATTTTTATCCATCTTTGTTCTTTCAAAAGTTAGTTAATTAAACAGTTCGAATTAAACAATATCTTAGAACACAAAATATTGTCTGACTAGCTCCAGGCAACTGTGAGCAACATGCATTTGGTCGCATCGTGACTGCGTCTCGGCATATTTTTAAACTCTGGCTAAGGTTACCTAGGGCACCCTGTATATCGAATAGCAATGTTGTGAAAACAATAGTGTGTGAAAAGGGATTCGGGCACACAGCTTCTTAACTGGCGTTAGGTTTTTATGGTGGTACGCCAGTGAATAGTCAAATGAAGGAGCACATTGTCGGTGTTGCATGTAGTTCATAATCCGACTTGTACACACTAACAGTGATGATTGCGGTGCATAAATTTCTGGTGTTCAAAATGACGAGTGCTTGTAAAGCCCACTCCTGGTCGCTTTGAAATTATTAAGCCATGCTTCTAAGTTGTGGATACTGCTCTAAGATTATTGGTTTAATTGCAAGAAGTGCGTTCGTTTTTTACACTTCTGACATAGTTGACCAAACTTGATTTATTCTTTTAAATTTCTTCGCAGGTTCCGCCACGTAGCCTCTCACAACTGAGCGCCATCTTCATCTACATCGACGTACTTGCCGCGACATCTGCACAAATGTTATTTCCGTAGTGGCTCTTACTACCGTGCCTAGTAGTCTTTTTTGCCTCATTATTTGTAAATAAAACGCTGAAAAAAAAAAGGAAAACATACATATAAGAAAAAAAAAGAATTTGAACACCTGAATTCTGTTTTTGGCTTGTTGACTTGGGGGGGGGGGGGGGGCACGTTTGTGTCCCAGGTGCTTTACAGTGGTTCAGAGTGGCACTGTAACCAACATCGTATGCTGTTTGAATTTTGAATGTATTGTGGGAATAACTTTGCAACTTTGTCAAAGTGTCCCCAACTAAATGCAAGTGCTCACTGGACTGCTCTTAATATACTCACCCCCATACCCTAATGTGACACTGCTGCTCTGAAAGATCCAAATTAGTTTGAGACCTTGGTATTCTTCCACCATTTCTCTCCACTCAATCTGTGCCTGTGAACAAAAGAGCAAGGAGAACAATTTACAAGCGCCTTTTCCTCTCTAAAAGACGGCCAAGGAAACAGCATGTTAACTGTGATATTCGTCCTCTATATGGATCTATAGAAAAATAAGCTCATGCGAGATTGGTGTGACTGTATTTCTATTTAATCATAGTGCCTCCTGTTAATTAATTTCGCAGACGTCAGGTCGTAGGAGAGGGTTAAAGGTTTGTTGTTTTTTCCCTATTGCCTTTCTATCTCAGATGTGCAAAAGGTGACTACGCATAAGTTGGGAGGATTGCCACACTTTTCACAATTATATTTTTAGTTCTGATGAACTGGAAGGAAGAACAGTGTTTGATTGATAATAGTATTACAGGTCTAAGCAAGCTGGAAAACACCACAGACAGACACACTGGTTCCTACGGATTCAGGTGCAGCTGTGAAAACATAGTTTGTGATGGCAAGTCTGTCTTGTCCCACTCCACCCACAGAGTCGGTGCACCTCTGTGGGTGGAGTGGAATATATCTAATGCAATGATCCTAGTGTCTTCAGTGACCATTATGAGCAAATAGTTCAGCATCAAACATAAACTCTTTATAATCCAGGTGCCACTTTTGTGGCAGTTTTGTTTGAATTATATTTCCCCAGAAATTCTGACCTATAGCTGCCGCAAGCGTGAAAGCCTAAGCTTTCGCTCACACTTAATTGGTGGCACCATTGGTACTACTTTCATTGTAAAAATGGACATCACGTGTGGCCAGCAAGGACTATAAGTAGCTGGTTTTTGATGCTACTCTTAGCTTATTACTTGTAATACAGCATAATCTGATTACAACAGACCCCCATAGTGGAGAGGGTTTTGGTCTGTGGTTAAAGGAGTATATAAAATCTAAGTGCTGTTACAACAGACTTATGTGAGCACTCAATGGGTTTGGTACAACCAGAGAGAATTACTAGTGTAGTGGAGCATACGCACCAACGCGTATGCGCCTTCGGAAGACAACAAAAAGCCCGTGCTCTGCTTGCGCGAGAGTTTGTGCCGCCTCTGCCAGACTTGCCGTACGCCCACTTTCCGTTGCGACCTCGCTGCGACTTCTCGGCTCGAATAAACGTCATCACATTTGGTGGAGGGTGCTGAGATCCCCAAGAAGACCTGGAGCTCCGCTCTCGCAAGTTGCCTGAAAGACTACCGCGAAACATGACTGACGCAGTCGCCAACCAGCCCGTCCCAGCCCAGCCAGCACCATTGGCTGCCCAGTCTACCTGCCCCGGCGCTACCCGCCAGCGGGACCCACCAATCTTCAGCGGAAGTGGTGAGCAAGACGTCGAAGACTGGCTCTCCTTGTACGAACGCGTAAGCGTCAGCAACAAGTGGGACGACGACTCTAAACTCGCTTGCGTCATCTTTTACTTGGCAGACGTAGCTAAGCTTTGGTTTACCAACCGCGAAACCGCCATCACCAACTGGTCCTCCTTTAAGACCCTCGTAACAGAAGCGTTCGGCCGACCAGAGGTCCGCAAGCTCCGCGCCGACCAGCGTCTGCGCCACAGAGCCCAGCAGCCTGGCGAAACGTTTACGAGTTACATTGAGGATGTTCTCGACCTCTGCAGGCGTGTTAACCAATCTATGCCCGAAGAAGAGAAAATTCGGCAGATTCTCAAGGGCATTGAGGATGGCGCATTCCAGATGTTGCTAGCGAAAAGCCCGACCTCGGTGGCAATCCTCGTAAGCCTGTGCCAGAGCTTCGATGAATTACGCCGTCAGCGTTCCATCGCCCGACAGAGTGTCTCACCACCAGATTCGAACTCGGCTGTCGCACTCGCAAATGTCAACGTTCGCCAAGAAAGCCTGTCCAACCAGATCAAAGACTTCATCAGGGAGGAAGTCGCCCGACAGCTCTCCCTGCTGCCGCATAGCGACGCGCCCACCGCAAGTCTGCCTTCGACACTGCAGCAGGCCATACGCACTGAAATTTGCGATGCCCTACCTACAGTGCAGGCCCCTTACGCATGCACTTCAGCAGCATCTAATCTCTCAGCTGTCAGCTACGCACCACCTGTACCATCTTCACCTCTCAGCTACGCAGCTGTGGTTGCGCGACCCCCACCGCATCCAGTATCCTTATCGGCTCCAACTCCTCCGGCAGCGCCACCGGTTTACAGGCCCTCACCTCGCTTTTTCCGTCAATCTAATGAGTGGCGCACTTATGACAACCGTCCTATCTGCTTCGCGTGTGGCATCGCTGGCCACATTGCACGCTACTGCCGCCGCCGTCCCACACCTGCGTACGCCTCCTTTGGAACTCCTACCTATGCGTCGCAGCAGGCCACCACGTCTGCATACGAACAGAGGCACTCTGACTCGGATCGTCGCCCATCAACTTCTCGTTTCCCATCTCCTCGTCGCCGATCACCATCTCCAATGCGTCGTAGACCACCTCCTGAGGAGGGAAACTAATCAGTGCAGTTCCAGAGGCAAGAACTGCAACTTCTGCGCAATTATCAAGGCCTCCATTTTCGCCGCGAAATGTTGTTGATGTCAATGTTGAGGGAGTCGCCACACAAGCGTTAATTGATACTGGGGCCGCCGTTTCTGTGATGAACGCAAAATTTTGTCGCAAACTGAAGAAAGTGACCACATCTCTCTGTGGCATCGTGCTGTCCACGGCTAGCGCGCAACGCATTCAGCCCTCGTCTGTGTGTACGGCGCGCGTCGTCATCCAAGACGTTTTGTACATCGTCCAATTTTTCGTACTACCATCTTGCTCTCATGACCTCATCCTGGGTTGGGATTTCTTATCAGGTCATGAAGCTATCATCGATTGTTGCCGTGCGGAAGTGTCCCTAGTGCCAAATTGTGAGTTTCCATCGCCCGACCATTCACCACTGCTCTGCAAACTCATCGCTGACGACGACATCACCTTGCCTCCGGAAGCTTCAGTCCCTATTAGCCTTTCATGTGTGGCGCAACCTGACGCCACGGTGGTATTTACGCCATCCCCTGTTTTTACTGAACGCAAGGGCATCGTGCTCCCATTTGCCGTTCTTACGATTGCGTCTGGTTTATCCGTAATGCTGGTTACCAACCACTGCAACTACCCCATTGGCTTGCTTCGTGGTGAAACGTTAGGATATGTGCAACCTGTCGACCATATCAATGATATTATTCTTCCCGACGAAACGCCATGTCAGATTGCCGCAATCACTCAGGCGTCTGAGCCATCAAGCTCACCAGCCTTCGACGATGCTATTGACGCAGACCTTCCCCCCTCGCATCGCAGCCAACTTGTTGCTCTCCTTAACAAGTTTCGCTCTTCTTTCGACTTTCAGAAACCTGCTTTGGGCCGCACCACGACTGTCACTCATACTATTGACACCGGCTCACATTCGCCTCTGCGACAGCGTCCTTACCGCGTTTCTGCCGAAGAGCGCCGCGTCATTACGGAGCAAGTAGATGACATGCTTAAACGTGGAGTCATACAGCCTTCTCAAAGCGCTTGGTCGTCACCCGTGGTTCTGGTAAAGAAAAAAGATGGCACCGTTCGATTTTGCGTGGACTATCGCCGCTTAAACAAGATTACAAAGAAAGACGTCTACCCGCTACCACGAATAGACGATGCTCTTGACTGTTTACAAGGCGCCGAGTACTTCACATCCTTGGATCTGCGTTCTGGGTATTGGCAGGTGCCAATGGCTGAATGTGATCGCCCTAAAACAGCCTTTGTAACGCCAGATGGCCTGTATGAGTTCAAAGTCATGCCATTTGGGCTCTGCAACGCGCCTGCGACGTTTGAACGCATGATAGATACCATATTGCGGGCCCACAAGTGGAAAACTTGCTTGTGTTACCTAGATGACATCGTAGTCTTTTCAGCTGATTTCCCGACACATCTTCGTCGTCTCCACGAGATTCTGGCGTGTCTAGCTTCTGCAGGCCTACAACTTAACACCAAGAAGTGCCACTTCGCAGCCCGCAAACTAACCATCTTGGGACATGTCATCACAAGAGACGGTGTTCTTCCGGACCCTGATAAGCTTCGAGCTGTCGCTGACTTCCCCGTGCCCACATCACTGAAAGCCCTAAGAAGTTTCGTTGGTTTTTGCTCTTACTTTCGTCGCTTCGTGCGCAACTTCGCGTCCATCATTTCACCTCTGACTAGTCTGCTTTCCAACAGCAAAGGTATATCTGCATGGTCACCTGCATGTGACGACGCATTTCACCAGCTGCGCCGCCTGCTGACCTCGCCACCTATTCTTCGCCACTACGACCCCACTGCTGCCACAGAAGTTCACACTGATGCAAGCGGCGTTGGTCTTGGCGCAGTTTTGGCACAACGGAAAGGTACCCAAACCGAATACGTAGTCGCTTATGCAAGTCGCGCTCTTAAGAAGGCTGAATTGAATTACTCCGTGACAGAGAAGGAGTGTTTGGCCATAATCTGGGCGCTTACGAAGTTTCGCCCGTACCTTTACGGCCGTCCTTTCGATGTGGTCACAGACCACCACGCTCTATGTTGGCTGTCCACCTTGAAAGACCCGTCCGGACGTCTGGGCCGTTGGGCACTTCGATTGCAGGAATACGACATCCGTGTCGTATATCGTTCCGGTCGCAAGCATGCGGACGCCGATGCACTTTCCCGATCGCCATTAACACCAGATGTGGCTTCTCTGTCACCCCCTTTTACCACCTTGTCACCACTCGACAGCACTGACA